AGTTTTGGCTGGAATAATCTAGTTGGGGCTGGTTGGTCCTGCTTTGCGCAGGGGGTTGGACTGGATGACCTTCTGAGGTCCTCCTGAGGTCCTTCCAGCCCTAATTTTCTATTATTTTATAATTCTAAGAACAAGAACAAGAAGAACAGAAACTGTAAAACATAATTTTCATTTAAATGTATACAGTGCTGTTGCCTTGAATCTTCAGAAAGTCAAAAAGATTTGAGAGCTGAGTCCATCCACATTTGTTTCAATAGCTTATAAAATATGAAACCTAAAGATGATGTTTTACATGCTAGGAATATTAGATAAAAATGTTTTTTCTACATACCTCAAGGTACCAAGTGACTCATGAATACTGTGATGGTGGGGCAGATGGAGCATCCCATGGGAGTGGGGGCAGGGTCCCCAGCACACTCAGCGGCAGACCCAGAAGCGGACCAGAAGCACTTCCAGTCAATTTCTGAGTCTGCCACGGAGCAAGCAGAGGACCCCTCCCCTGGCCCCCAGCTCAGCGACTGGAGCCTCCAGGGTCTGGGGGGGGGCACTCGGCATCCCCCCATGACCAATCACGGAGCTGTGAGGGGTGCTGGGGGGAGGTCCCCCACATGCTCGGTGGCAGACCGGGAAGTGGACTGGAAGTACTTCTGGTCCACTTCCAGGTCCATCGCTGAGCTTGTGGGGACCCTCCCCACCACAGTCCTATGAGACACTCCATTTACCCTGCCATCTCAGCATTCATGAGCTCTGCTTGGTACCTCTACATATTTAGAAAAAACATTTAAAGCTGTGTCTATGGCCAAGTCGCAGATTCTCTGAATCAGCATCAAATCTTCTGATTCAGCTGAATCGAATCGGGACAGTGATCTGAATCAATGAATTGAGTCACTGTCCCTGATTTAGGCTGAATCTGAATTGAATACCCCCTGCTTCACACCCCTCTAATTATTGTCACCAGACTATGCTGCCTCTTGCTTTCTGTCTGGCTTTTTGACTCTCTTGGTTACTCCATAGCTCAGTCTTAACAACAGGGATAGATCAACCTCTTATGTAGCCTATTCTGTAGGTGGTTAAGGCAATCTCCAGAGACATGGGCTCAAATTCCTCTGAGTGAGGAAGGCCTAGAACTTAGGTCTTCACTTGCTGGGTAAGCTCTCTAATTAATATGCTATTAGACAAAAAGGTGGGCAATACTAAAAGTTGGTCAGATTCCTGCATCAGAAGTGGGAATAGGCATAAATTGCAAGTGAATGGAGACATTTAATATTCAGCCTTACCCAGGTCCTTAAGATCTGACAGAGGCAGGAAATCAGACTCTCTGAAGTTAGTATTTCTTACTGGTTGCCATTCAGTTTTCTGCGTTATGTATTGTCTGTCTCTCCCCTTTCTTTGTACAGAGCACCTAAGCACCTAAACTCAGTTAAATTGAATCTCTTTTTGGACATGGGTGACTGGTGCCACCTTAGTCAAGGCAGGACACATGGTCCCCTCAGAGACCAGCCAGCGACCGGGGGTGGGGAGGGGTTCCCCTGCAGCCAATAGTGAGACAGCTGATCGCTGTGACTGGTAGCTGCAGCCACTTCCGGGAGTGGCTGCAGCCACTTCTGGGAGCACAAAACAGTGCTCCACTACCTTGCCAGTGCTTGCAGGGTGGGCACCGGCACTCCCACCTGCTCCCCCTGCCCATCATTTAAGTGGCTAGCACAGCTGGTCAGGGGGTGCACATGCACCCCCATGCACTCCCTATGCATCACCACTGTTTCTGGATATTTCCTAAATAACTGTATAGGGACAATAAGCATCTACATTTGCTCTTCTGGGGAAAGGTACTTATAATTTAGGCTTTGCTAAACAGAAACAAACCGGATCTGGTATTCTAATCCAGCTGAATATGGTCCTAGTGCCTATTTTACATTAAAACTTCAATAATAACATGTTTCATCCTGAAAACGCTAGAATTACAGGGATTCAAAACATGCAGAATAAAATATATTTTTTTTTTACACTTCTAAAGCTTCCTAATGGCTAAATTACAATTTAGCTCTTGGTAATTTTCCTATTGCTAATTCTTTTGATATGCCAGCCTCTCCACATAGTCTGCTATGGTGCAGAAGAATAGGAGGACAAACACCTAAAACTGTATTTACTGAATAGTCTCAGGTACAGTATCACGCTGTAAGAGCATTATCAAAAGTTTCAGCACTGATATTAGGAGCAGCCTGAAGAAAATACTTCTGGGATGTAATGAATCATAAATAAATAAATAAATAAACAAACTAGGGCATGCTAGAGCAAATAGACCTTGAGAATTATTCTTTCATTTCATTCCCCCATCAAAGTGATATTATTTATGGAACAATGTCAACCCTCACCACAAAATAAATCATGATGAAAATAAGTCTGAGAAAGACTGCAGTCTGAGATCATTCTGATGTGTGAGCATGGGCACAATATATCCTAATATTCCTCCTATTTGAAAAGAACTACAAGAGAAATGATAATGCAGTTCAAACTAATTTGGAATGCTTGTGAATACAAAAGGAACTTTTGAAACAGTTATCAGTATCCAGATAAGGTCTATACATTATAGTGTAGAAGTAATATATGCCCATAAATAATGAATTATCAAAAAGAAGTCAACTTTAACATATTTTAGGATCTGATTTGGAAGAAAATAAGTCATTTTAACAGACATGAGTAATTACTTTATTTGCATATCCAGTAGGTATTTGTGCACAAGTCTGATTCCCACTGCCTGCAGATCTACAACAGGGTTTCCTATATCTACAGTACAATTCCCAACCAAAAGCCCATTCAAATCAACAAAGCCCATTCCAGCCTGCTACAATAGGAATCCCATGACAAGGACAACAGAATGCTTCTACAAAACTAGAGAAAAATTAATCATCTACAGACTGAATTGTATTAACTCTTATCCCAACAACCGAGTCCATGGCTTCTTATTCCATTATCTTGACACTTCATTTGGGTGTCCCTCTAGGTTTTTAGCTGGTTTGTTCATCTTAACTGATCTAATCTATCTTCCATATTTATCCAAATGCAAGACAATCCTGAACTTAAGATAGCATCCACAATAATTAGATTCTTTATATGGAAAATGTATAAAATGCTTATTATTTTCCATGTGTAGAATCTAATTATTGGAGGGTCATCTCAAATTTGTCCCCCCACCACTGCTGCAGTCAATAAATCAGTGGCAGGGGGTCAAGTAGTGAGGGGAGGCAGTAAAGGAGTGGGCAGTGGGGGACACAGTGTGGAGGCACATGGTGGGACAAGCAGGCAGATAGTAAAGTAGCAAGTGCTAGGAGAGGTGTGGGGCAGGCAGTGGTAGGGAGTCAAGCAGCTTGACCCCTTCCCCTTGGCTCCCACACCTTCCCCCTGCCACCTGTAAACCCCCACCACTTACCCCTTGGCACCTCCTCCCTGCTGCCTCTGTCCCCTCTGTGTCTACCCTCCATCAGCCTCAGATCCCCTTCTCCCCCATATCCTCCTTCCCTGGGTTGAAACCAGAGCCAGAACTTAAGCCACAGCAGCCACCTGCCTGTCCCTGCTACCTCATATTTAGATCTAAGATAAGGAGCTTTCCCCTCCCTCCTCCATGTTAAATGAGGAAAAAAAAACCTCTTTTGCATTTGAGTAAATATGGTACTACCTGTCTTAGCAGCATCTCCTTCCCTTGTCTTGTTCCCTTTTATATATTGTTTTTTCTTTCTGCCAGTCCATTCCTAGCATCTGATGAAGTTGTACTTCTTCGCCTCTTTAAGTAGTCTTTTGAAATTGCTACCCTATCCTATCTTCTGCCTGATTTTAGACTGACTTAGATTTTAGATTTTAGACATGGCTAACTATCTCTGTGCACACAAATATGGAAGCTCCAGAGGAGGAATTGCCTATACCCAAGTTTAGAAAATCAGAGTGTATTCAGGGAAAGGATGAAAAAGCTAAGGAGAAACTGCACTAGAAACAGCCTGTTAGATATTCACTTCACATGTCTGGCTTTTTTGTGTGTTAATCTGCTTTTTAATCCAGTTATTTTGAGCCACATTAATTTGTATAGTCAGAATGACATGCAGGACTGAGCCAAATATGTTGGAGATGTATAAGCATATTTTATCAACAAGATGTTATCAAAATAATATAACTTCCTTTGATAAGATTTTCATAACACCATGCTGACTATCTTTAATTCTTCATACTGCCTAATAAGATTGGGATGAGGGTAAACCATTAGCTTTGGTTATTGGTTCTATCTTAGTGCTATCTATTAATGATGTATTCATGTGCCCCATAACAGTCTTTCCATAATTTTGTTCATATTAACATCAGGCTAACTAGCCTATCATTACCCAAGTTATCCCATTTATCTTTTCTAAATTCTGGCACATTAGCCCTATCCTTGTCCTCTGGAATTTCTCCAGGGTTTAATTAAGGTTTTGTTTGAAACCAAAGTTAACGGTGTCTTTGCCCTCATACCAATCTTATTAGATAGTATGAAGAATTTTCTAACTTTAAGGGTTCCTAAGTTCTAGAACAGATCACCTAAGGAAGTTATAGAATACCTACCACTGGAAGCTTTTAACTTTAACTTAGATTTACAGACATTTCTAGTTGACACTGAAAAGATTCTGCCTTGAGCAAAGTTTTAAACTAAATAATCTCTTAAGAACCCTTCCAGACCTATTTCTCTATGATTCTATGCTTCATCTGCCACAAGGCATCTAATTATAAACCAAGTGGCCTTTGAGGAGCTAACATAAAAGTCATTATAGTGATGACTGAGGAGGAAAGATATTAATAGCACCCATCAGGCCTATTGCAGAGTGATCTGTCACATGCATACTACACCTTGGAACTAGTTCCATTAGTTTCTGAAGGTAAATAAATAACACATCTATATGTGGAATAAGGCTTGTAGTACTATTTGATTACCAGTAAGAAAGGTTTCACAACTTCTCAATTTTTTCACGTTTTCTGCTTACCTATACAGACTGGTGGGTTGGGCTGCCAGAAGTACCGATTTTCTACCTGAATACAGGTTATTCTCTCATCGCCTTGCAGCTCATACCCAGGATCACACTGAAAAATAACAGTATCTCCAGGTTCTCTTCCATCTCCATTCCGAGTTCCATTCATAGGAACACCAGGATCACGACAGGCAGTGGC